GAAATCAGCGGTATTACCCCACTTCACAAAGGAGGCAGTGACGCAACAGCGCCAACTTAACACATTATCAAAATTCCAAGAAGCAAGATTGCCAATCACATGGAATCGCCACGATTGCACAATCCAGGGGAGCATGGGTTTAAGACAGGTTGCTCCTGCCTTTCACAACTGCTAGATCATTACGGCTGGATCATTCGATACACTGGAAGACAAGCTAAATGCTGATGTAGTATACACTAATTTTACAAAGGCAATCGACAAGTACGAACATGGTTTGATAGTGCATAAAGAATAACTGGGAAAAGTGGACAGTTGAGTAAGTTTATTTAAGTGAAGGTGTACACAAATACAGTTAAACAAATTATCATACACAAGTAACACACGTGCAAGTTACCTAAGACATCCCCCAAAAAACAGTCAGACAGTTGAATATTTAATTTCTTTGACAAAACAAATAGCACCGTAACACCTTTGCTGATGACACCAGAATCTGAGAGTGGCGTCTGTTGAAGACAGCGAATTTTCAGGCGGATATAAATAGTCTTCCAGTGGGCCTCAGACATAAGGATATTTAACGAGGACAAGTTTTAGCTCTGCAAGGAAAATGATAGGCTGGATAACTAGAACTTTCAAGTCAAATATTCTCTCCAGTTTCCTTCAAGGCAGGGGAGATTGCTGAGCTGGAAAACGTAGAGAGAATTTTTACTGCTCGTTTACACTCCTTATAAACTACAGGGAACGCTTGAAGTCCCTTCAGCTGCATTCCTTGGAATGTAGGCGAGAAAGGAACATCATAATTTATACGTGGAAAAACCTGAAGAGAACGGTCCTCAAACCTGCTCACTAAAATTACTCCATGTACAAGCAAGGGACTTTGCAGACGGGGCAGACTACCTTCAAATAAAAAGCAGGTCCTTCAAACCTGTATTCCAGAGGGACATTCACAAGTGCCTCAAATCATTTCTTGGCCAGCCAAGCTGTGGTTCGTATTTTGGATTGCGTGCGGCCAGCAGATCAGCAGCCTTCAGGTACCTTCCCGTTCACCTGCCTCGTCTGCTTTCACTGGTTCCACGTGCTTCTTCGTCTCATCCTTGTCCACTGTCTCCATGTGTTTACTGCCAGACGAATTAATTTTCGTATAGATGGTTCACCAGCCGTCACTTTTCCTCTCCCTCTTAAGTGCCCTATTGAATTTATGAAGTGTTTTCCAGTCTAGTTGAAAGTATCCTGCGTACTGGCACCTTGATGTGTGGGCAGTGTGCAGTGGGTGACCGTTTTACGAATAGAAATGTGTTGGTGTTTAGTAAGGTGTCGAGCATACTCGTGTATGGCATTGTATACTTATCAGACAGGTGACACCTATCCACGCTATCACCTGTCTAGTTACGGGCCATACTGACGACCGAGGACGCTACTTCGGATATTTTCTGTAAAACAAATGGCTGAGAGCCGAGAAATGGTGGTAAGACACTTTCAGAAGAAATCTCATACGACGTTTCACCTCATTGAGTACATAGGTCATTGTAGTCTGTTTATATTTTAAGGGATCAATTAATTGGCCCTTCTGGGCCAAAATATAAAATGTGATATTGAGTTTAGGTTTCATTTATGTGCAAGGCTTTAGTTGGATCCCCACTTTATCTTTTTCTGCCATTTACTTGTCCTTGCTTGTAAGATAGTGGCGATATGTGTGGTGGGCGTGAGTGTAGGTGCGACCGCACGAAGTGCGGTGATGGTGTTGGTGGAGGTGACGGTAGTGGGGAAGGGACTGTGACTGGTGGTGGAGTGTCAGTATGCTGCTCGCCGCTATTGCGTTCACCAGCTGCATCTCCCTCACCTGCTTGTGTTGCCTTCCCAAACATCTGTAGGAGCAGCAACACCTGCGAGACGCCCAGGAAGCACCCTCCTCCCTAGAGCCCGTCATCCTGGCTGGTTACTACGTCAAAAGACGCAGCTTTGTAGGCGGATACGGTTTTGAAAATCAATATAGTGGCATAACATGTAGGCTTCTTGTGTTTTTTTTCATAGTTTTACGTGGTGTTGCGTGTAAGTGTAAACATGGCTTGGTACACTGACGACTGAGGTTGTCGACGTGGACGATAACTGACGACAACAGACGACTGTCGACATTTTGAGTGCTTGCCACTGGCTTAAAACATCTACCTCGTGGGCACCCTGGGATTGCCTAACGTTAAATGGTGACATCTTGGGCATTTATGGCAACTATAACAGTGCGATGATAGGGCGTTCGTAAGTAAAATAAATATGCATTGTAGAGATAAGCACGGTAAACATGTATTATCACACAGGAAGTTCCTGTTATATGCGAGCCCCAGATTACTTGTGCGAGAGCGTGCACGCCCGTACCTGCAGTGGCTCTTGTTGCACGATGTGAACCTTGTGTTATGGCTGGGAGGGTGGTGGTTTGTGCTGGCCGCAACATTCAAAACTTCTCACGTACCGACGAGAATGTATCATGGAAACACCGGACGGGCTGATAAGCCATGGTTGTGGTGAACACAGCGTCAAGACCCCGGTGGAGGTTGTGGGGGAGAATGAGAAGAGTTTGCATCCTGCAGCATGACTGTGGTGTGGGATGTGTAGCTTGATGTGGCTACCACAGTTTGGTTTCGGGACATATTGTTGGAATAAGGAATGGTTGGATGAGATTACAAACAGCGTCCTTTATTACATGTCAAGAGTGCTGCGTAGGAGAAACCCATGTGAGGTGCTAGACTGGAGGAACAAGTGGTGCTTGCCTGGAGGGACTGTGAGGAGCCTGCAGACGTTGGGACGTGTTTGTCCCGAGCAAACCAGTGGGTGTCTCATGCATGGAAGCATGGTTCACGTTCTGAGTTTCACACCACTAGCGCCTTCCTTCACCTTGCCACCACTACCGCAACTCAAGCTGAATCACATCAGACTTATTAATCCATTTCGCTTCAAACTGTCATTCACTCATCGAATCAGAATGCCACAAAGGTGTCGCTTGAAATTGCTTTCAAGACAACAAATCAAACGTCCACATGGACCACTGTTGAAATTGCCTACTAGACTACATATTAAACTGCTTTGTAAATTGCCATCCAGACCTTGTGTAAAACTAAAACTTAGACTACCCTTTAGTTGTGAGGTGGCCTATAACCTCCATTCCAGAGCTTATTGTAGATTACCCACCAGACTTTAAAGTGTGAGCTTACCAAACCATACCCCCGGCCGGGATTGAACCCGCGGGTTCAATCCCGGCCGGGGGTATGGTTTGTTTGCAATCGTGTCATTACGATTTCTTGAGTCATGTGAGCTTACCTAGCAACACTACTCTGGGAGGTGACACATGCTGATGCTTTCCCCCCACCCCCTCTCGCCATCACACTCCATTTCCATTGACCTTGTCCAAGCCCGTTCGACACTTCTGATGACTACAACTGACAGTGTCTTTGACCCTCGATGACCTACCACAGCATTTGCTTCTGCTTAAAATCTCTAGTTTTTACAAGAATCTTCGGACTTAACCTGACTAACTCAGTGTTTAGGTAACGAAATATCATTTTCACAATTTTATTTAGTCTGTTTTTCTAAAATCTCAGCTGTATCTGTTTTTTTTTTCCTGTACTACATGGCCTAGTCTTTCCTCTCTCTATCCTAGAAATAGATTTTGTTCGTTATTTTACTAGTCTTCCTTGTTTTTAAAGCTTTTATTCGTCGGAAACAGCGTCGTGACACTTTGGAGTATACATGGAGGGTGTTCCGGGGGTCAGCGCCCCCGCTACCCGGTCCATGACGTATTGATCAGATTAGCAGTCTAGTGTTTCCCGAAGGGGTGTAGAAGATATTAAATTTGAAGTACAGATAATGGCATTGACTTTTTTTTGATACCAGCGATGTGTGTGGTGTTGGCTCCATGGCTGGGGCGCTGGGAATCCTTTATGGAAGTGGTGCAGTCATTGGCTACTGGCACCGATACATACATTGTCGTCAGCAGTACTGTGTACACGATGTGGCAGCTCTTGTCAAAACTCGCATGAAGCTCTAGCGAGGCTACCCACGACTCCGGGCCCGGACTCGATTGTTCCTCAGTCTGATCATGTATTAGACACGTTAATGAAATGCACTACGCAGGCTCTACATATGGGTGTGCCACCTCCCACGTGTTGGTGGTATGTGGAGGTACCTGCCACCTCCCACGTGTTGGTGATACGTGGAGGTACCTGCCACCTCCCACGTGTTGGTGGTATGTGGAGGTACCTGCCACCTCCCACGTGTTGGTGGTATGTGGAGGTACCTGCCACCTCCCACGTGTTGGTGGTATGTGGAGGTACCTGCCACCTCCCACGTGTTGGTGGTATGTGGAGGTACCTGCCACCTCCCACGTGTTGGTGGTATGTGGAGGTACCTGCCACCTCCCACGTGTTGGTGGTATGTGGAGGTACCTGCCACCTCCCACGTGTTGGTGGTATGTGGAGGTACCTGCCACATCCCACGTGTTGGTGGTATGTGGAGGTACCTGCCACCTCCCACGTGTTGGTGGTATGTGGAGGTACCTGCCACCTCACACACCTTTGGAGGGTGAGTAGGTGGAGGTACCTGCCATCTCACACGTACTGGACCTGTTCCTTGCCGGTTGAGTGTCTTAGTCTGTGTGTGGTAGTATGGAGTGGGGGGTGCATGTGCGTGCATATGCGCGCGCTTTCCCATCCTTGCCTCTTTTTGTTTAGAAATCTAACATAGCTCATAGTGTATTAATGTCAGATAATAAGATCAAAAGGAAACTTCAGAATTTTATATTTTCATAGCGCTATACAGCGTCTAAAGAATCGGGGGTATTTGCTTGATCAGAGGAAGAGAATAGCTCCAGGGTGCTTCAGCAGCACCAAGGCATCCTCCATGAAAGGGGAGACTGCTATTAACCCCCACCTCCCCTGGAAGCTGCTTTTGTTTCTTATTTACGTAACGAAATACAAGTTGTGTGGTGTCACTAATTGTTGTGTGTTGTGCTTCAGGTTGGCGGAACGCAAGAAGAATGAAGGCAATGAGCTGTACAAGAATAAGGATTACAGAGAGGCCCTCAAGCTCTACACCCAGGCCATTGGTGAGTAACCCAGGAACCTCAGACAACTTCTAGGGCAATCTTTGGGCATTGCCAGTTTGATTGGGTTTTTGGTTGGTTATTTTAATCTTGTGTGATAGTATTTATTTTTGTGCTGTTCATGATTATTTAAAATTTTACATTGAGTGTTCTTGTGTATTATTTTTTAAAACTAAGTGTTGAAGGATCTGCTAATTGAAAACAATAAAATCTCTCAGTTGTTTTCCCTACACCAAATTTTCACCCTATTGGGCTTTACATTAAGAAACTTAATAACCGAACGTCCTTAATTTATTAATGACTCTGACATTCAGACCTGTTGAAGAAGCGACGGTATCACTAAGACAAACCAAAACGGTCAAGGTGATGTTGAGAGTGTGACAAGACAGATAAGTAACTAGACCAAGGGCTATCTGAGATAACACAATGAAGTTTGTTGTTCTATTCTGAAACGTGAACATTGATCTCGTGTTGATGCTGCCAGGATCTTGGCACTTCACAATTTTCGTCCAGGAAACTATACTCTCGTCTTAATGCCCTTCACTGAAAATTCTTTCATTCCAGCTAAGAACTGCTGAGCCAAGAAATTGGAACTGGTCTTCTCTTTCTTGTTTCACATAGGATTACTTTCCATTCCTCAGGCGATATTTGACCCCTATCGGGTTCAACACTTCCCCATAAATATAATAATAATAATAATAATCTTGCCTTTATGTATTGGACTGTTTGGATTAATTTATATTAAAATTTGCCAAATTTTGTTAGTTGACCTTGACCGAAAATAGTGTATGTTGAGAAATCGGCTCTAATTCATACATTAATAAAAGCAACGTTGATGTTAGGAAGAAAAGTGTGATTTACACTACCTGTTGAAGTTTATATTGACATGAAAGAAACTGCAGGCCTGTCTCCCCCCCCCTCTACCTGCCTACCTGTAACCCTAGATGGCAACCACTCGATACCGGTTTCTTCTCTAATTCTGAACTTTTCTAGTCCTGGATTAGCTCTGTAAGAGGGCTAGAATGCGAAACGTTTCGGAATAAAGTTGCCTAAATGTTGCCTATGTGTCTTACCTACCAACCTGTCGGTATTATATACCATTTTGATATTCATGGGAGGGTTTAGAGATACCGATAATTTGGTATAAAGGGGTGGGCATTATATTGATTTATTCGTCCAGGATAATCGCTTGACATGGTTCTTTATCCAAAATGGCCGGTCCGTTCTGTGGTTCCAGTCCTGTCAGGGGCGCTGGCATGTCAATCTGCACTGGAGTCTGTAGTCCGCTAAACTTTGGCGGTGTTACGATATGGCCAAGAGAAGCAAGGGTTCGCATACTTTATATCAACACGGGATACAACGGCATGGTTACATTGTGGAAATAATTTGTTACCCTGTTTGATTTCTTTATATGGGATGGATTTCACACACGAAATAAAACTGTTGTCTAAGCTGGTTGGCTTAAGTAGATTGATGAGGATAATTTCAAACTCCATTATGTGTTCAGGAGTTGCGTTCCAGCATATTGGCTGTGACAGGAACATGTGAGATGGCGAACAGAGTTGACATTGCCTAAATAATTCACACATCTTAGGCGATGTCAACTTAGGATATTATAGCCTAAATAGCTGACATATCAGCTACATCCTTGTCTGTTTCAGAATTACCGTTATTTAATTGTGACAAATCCTGTATATTTCTGTAAAAAACTGCCAACCTTTGTTATAACGCGCACTTGTAACCACAACTAGACTAACAAACCATACCACGGGCGGGGATTGATAATGACCCAGAACGGAACGAAACTTGGTCTGAAGCTTCCTTTTCAAAGTGGGGGTTATTTATCATTGACAGTTTTATTACTGCCTGTGTGCAACCCATCCACTGTGATGGAATATGACTGGGAAGCATAGCTTTGCTAGCTTTGTGTAGAATAAGGTAATCAAGCACTTCTATAGTATACAACTGTGTTAAAATGTATGGTGACTGGAGATAATAACTAGATTTACCACAGAGGGTGACTTAATGTACATAACTTAAACAAGTGTGTTTACTTGATGATATATCGTGAGAGCAAGACGATAATGTTTACCTCGAGTGTTCATGAAACGTGGAAAGTATGCCGCTCTCTGTTGGCTGATGACCGAGTTTGTGTTGCCAGTGAGTCAAGACTGCTGGGTTTGTTTCACCTTCCTTTTCAAATCACCACCTTACTTCTTCCTCCTTCCCTAGCACCTCCCTCCTTTCCTAATACCTTCTCCTTAATCACTTTTCTCTTCCCTAAACCCCCTTCTTCCCTTTTTCCTCATCAAACCTCCCAATTCTTTCTTCTCCCTCCGTCTCTCCCCCACCTTCCCTTCCTCTCATTCCCTAATACATAGTTACTTTTGTAAGGGTCGATTCATAGCTATTGGCTCTGCCTCTTACTCTTGGTTTCCAAATTTATTGACTGCTGGTTTGAGGGTCCGGTCACACTTCACTCTTAAAACTGGGTATAGTGTTTGCTTTTATCACGTCTAGTAGTACTTTCATCTTACTCGCCGCCCTGGTGATAAAAAAGAAATGCGCTGTATTTCCCTTGGCTTATGAGTTTTGAGAGTTGTCA